GGAGAAGCTCCCAACAAACAAGATTTCAGACCCCTTCTGGTTCATTAGCAATCACAGACACGTGGTTGGTCTGCAAAAATGCGCTGAGAAGTTCATGGCTTGACCAGTCCTCCCATGATGTGCTACAAGAGCTGTGGCTCCACAGGCACAGAGCAGGACGAAGGGGCCGCTGGCATTTTCCTGGCTGAACCTTCCTGTCTTCAGAGATTGTTTTCCCTTTGAAGAGCAAGAGTTAACAGATAATGTTGGGGGGGAACAGAAAAGGATGTGGGGTTTAGATTCATTTACATTGTCAAATCCAGTCTAAATGGAAAGTTTAATTGATTTCAAGATGACATTCTGCAGAGATCAGGAGCCTGCCATGTCTTTTATTGCAGAACTTATATAAGGAAATGATGGGGGAAAGCACTCATGGAAAACCTCATCTTGAATTATGCATAAACTTAAGTCTGAAAAAACATCTAGGTCAAAATGAAGAAAAGCTGGAAGTATCCTACAGTCATTCTGCACTTCCAAACATATCACAGAAGATGGCATAATTTATCCTCATCTGAATTAACAGGAAAACTTCAAGCATTTGCAATTCTGATAGAAGTTCATAGTGGTGAAAAAAGCTGAAATATTGAATATTTGAAAAAGTGGTTCTATGCAAAATTTACCTCAAATAATTATTATATTTGAGTTTATCTTTTGTTATACATTAAAAGGTTACTATAGTAACTCAATAGCTATCCTATAGTAATAAATGTAGTAAAAATATATAGTAAAAAATTTCACTCAAATGTGAAATTCCAATTTTCAAGATTGTATCTCCTCTGCTATTTGGACTGATAAGGTATTTTCTCTGCTTGTCAGAATTAACTTTTTTCTTCAAATGACAGTGACATTTATACTGAGACCTAGACCTTGAGCAAAGATGATATGGACTTGCTTCATTTGGTTTAAATCTCTCCAGTATGCTCTGTTCTAATTCTGTGCACACTAAATCCAATCCTGCTCTTTCATTGGGTTAATTACATGGCTTTCATTTAGGATAGGTTGTTTTGAATGTAATTAAGCTGAGCACATCAAACCAATACATATAAATGTTAAAGTTTTCTTCATATCTTAGCTTCTACACTATTCTGAGTCTGCAGCTCTTCAGCCCCACTGTCAAAATCTGTCACAGATGACTTGCATTTTTTCTTTATCAGTGTCTCCTTATGATCATCAGTTGACCCTGTCCTCTTGGCTATTCCTTGTTGGAGGCATTGTCAAGGCCAATTGTTGGACCTCTCAGATAATAGGGGTTGTGATCCTACATTGTATCTGTACCCCCTCAGCATTTTGGAGCTTACTCCCAAGGCCAGTGAATTCGTCACTAGGAAACCCCCTGTAGCACTCAGAATTCCTTGATCACTTGCCTTTCATGACTGCCCTTCATAAAATCTGATAATACACGGTTGTTGCATTAGTCACTCACCTCTACTGTAGACCATGCTGAGAAGCATGCCTCTCTCTTTAGGAAAGTGATTAATTTTAGGCAGATTTTTTTTTTTTTTTTCTATCAACACTCAACCTGAAATATACCACGGTTGCCAAGATAAGTTAATAATTTGCCTATCTCCAGGTAGGTCTGGATCCAATCTCTGATAGCAGCTGTCTAAGCCCAGAAGGGAAATTTCCCACCGTAACAAAATTTTCTGAAAATTTCCCTTTACTGCTGTAACAGTAACAGCTGTTATGTCTCTGCTGGCTTCTGTGTTCAGAATGTTCTCTGAATTAATGGTGTGGAGCAAACTTCTGATTTATGCTATGGTGATTTTTGTCTGTATTAGGGCCCCAGTGTAGGTACCAACAATGTAGATATAGCATCCTCGTGGTAGGGAAATTACACTGAAAGATGAAAGATGTCAGAAAGTGAAGACAAAGTCAGGGTCTTCAGCTGCTATTATTTCTACAGCATCCAAGAATTCATATTAGATTCAGTCAAACACCTTGACTTCCTTTTTACTAGTGTGAATATCACTAATTTGCAGTGAGATTAGGGTTTTCAAAGGAATTTGAATTATCTATAAGCTTAATTCAGTTTGCACTGCTCTGTCACTGCTGGCATTGTCAAGAATCTCACTGTGAGTGCTTACAAAAACCAGGGTGGAGAGTTCCCGTTTTCCAGAAGAATTTTTAGGATTTTGTAAGTATAATTAAAAACACAGAACTCAAGTGTCCTTGTCATTGTCATTAATAAATTTATTACTTTTGTTCAGCCAGTAGCAGTATAGGTGCTAGAATGAATAGGAAGTTTGAAGAGGAAGTGTGAAAAATAGACTGAAGACAGCGTAATGTTGATGGTAATCATTATGCTTCTTTACAGAGAAGATGAAGAACTCTCTGCTGGCAGCTATCTTTTTACTTGTTAGAGGTGAGTTTTCATATACTGCACAGCCTACTGTTGCTTATGGACAGTCAGAATTCTTAATGCTACTCAAGGATGAGGCCGTATGAACAAAATCATGACCAAATTAAGTTCTGTGGGTAGGAGAAACAACCACCAGCAGCATTTTTCTTACTTCTTTTGCGGTTGTCTTGACCAACAATTCCTTTTTTTTTTTTTTTCCCCTTCCTTTCTGCGCTGCCCAGACTCCTGCCTCTGCACAGACTGGGACTCTCCGTTCTGCCGGCAGCTGCCAGGTGGGTGGAACGCTCGGGTCCCGGCGCGGTGCCCGGGCTCCGCGGGCGCTGAGGGCTGCTGACAGCCAGGGACTCTCGGGAAACACGGCCCCTAAAAAGCCTTTCCCGAGGGGAACACCTGGCCTGAGCAGCACGGGCAGGTGTGCCTGTGTGACTGCAGGGAGCAGGGCTCACCCGGGCGCTGTGAGTGGAGCCCGTTCCAAAAGACGGCGGATGCTCTAATGTTCCTGTGCGACGGCTGTCTCTGCTTTCCTTTTAACTGGGAACTTGCTGATGATGGCCAGAAGGAACAGTACAACACATTTTGATTGAGAGTATTACAGAGCAGTGGGTGGTCATCTGATGTACTTTGTGCAGGATTTAATATAGGCAGGAACATCCTGCTTGCTAGCAGACACAGCAGAGATGACAGGTTCTTGAGAACACTGTGACACGGGGCCAGACATCTGCAGGACTATGTTCTTCTGAAATTAGCCATGGATAATTATCTAGTCCTTGCAATTAACCTGCCAGACTAAGCTCCACTAAATCATTAGTGAGAAAACCAGATGCTCGGGAAGAAAAACAGAAAGTTCTAGAGTGAAAAAAATTAAAGGTGGGTGGTTTGGGGTTTGGTTTGTTTGTTGGTTTGGTTTTTTTTTTTAATTGGAGAAACTGAACTGTGTTTTCAAAGGAAGAAAAAACTGAATTTTTTTCTTCCTTTGTAGAACTCTTGGAGCGCAGACATGATACAATTGTAGTACTATACTAGTCTGGGAAGAACTAAAACTACGCATGTTAAGGTGGGGCAGTAAAACAAAGAAAGCACTAGAATAAAAATGAATGTGCATGTGGACACTCATATCCACAAACAAGACAAGTGAATATAGAAGTGTGCAAGATTCATTATACTCATATGGAGAAGGTAATATAGAACTTCAGTATATTGGGGGTGGGAGGATGCTTTGGGGTGTTACTTGAGCTAATACATTATTTCCACACACAAAATCTACTATTTTTCCTTTGTCTGCTCTAATACCATAATCTCATAGACAAAGACAAGGGGATATTTTGAAACTTAGAGCATGAGGAGCAATACGACCCCTGCTCCTCTGTGAGCAGAGACAGGTCTACAGCATGGTAGACACTGTGTGAATCTGAGTTAATAGAACTCTTATTTCAAATCATTTCAGGAGCAGTGTATTACCAATGCATTGACATGAAGTAGTACAGCAGTTCTAAAAAGGTTGTGTTTTCAGATGTTTCTTCAAAATGACAATAAAAAACTAAGGGTAAGGTTTAATTCCGAGTAAATCAGGAGAAGAACGTGAGAGCTGTTACTGTTTTCCCTGCTGCTGACAGACATAATGGTCATGGGTGAGGAGGCCAAGATATGGTTTGGTGGCCAGACTAGAAAAGCAAAGAATTCTGTAATGCTTCACATTGCTATGGAAATAAGGAAGCCATGATCTCTACCTTTCTGAAAGGAGCCTGTACATGCCTGAACTGATGCAGCATAACTTTATTAAAAAAGCATTATTTATATAGTATGAGAGAAGTGTCATAAGGTGAGGTTATTCAAGTCAGTGCTATTCTCACCTGACACACTTTTTTTCCAAAAGACTTTTCAGCCTAAATATGCATTTGCCATCTCAATGATGAAAAGAATGCCAAGGATACTTTGTAACTCAGGTTGTGGGAAGAAATGAGGAAAAGAGAATTGATCTTTTAACTCATAACCTAGGTTATGAGATACCACAACTATCCTACAACACCAGCTCCAGACATATTCATATTTACTTATCACACAGAAAAACTTTCTTATTTAAGATTGATAGGCCTATTGGCAACTTGTTAAACCCAACAGGTATGAAGAATGTGTGACTCTACTCATCAGGAAAAATTCACCATGAGGATACCATGCCTGTTGAGGTCCTTGTCTGCTTTTCTGAACAACAACAATAACAGAAGAATCTGAGTCTTTTTGAAAAGTCCTTTAGGTGGTACTTTGAGACTGTGACTGATTCTTCTGAACTAATAGTTCAGACAGTAAGACACAAAGCAAGAGAAGAACAATGGTCATATTTTATCATTAGCATTTCTGATAAGAGATTTTTGAAATACTGACATAAATTTAACTACTAATGACAAAAAATAAGTTCTTTTAATAATGTCATCAGTGTTTACTTTCACATCAACTGAAAAAAGGGCATGTTCAGTTGCGAAAAATATACGTAAACTGATGCCCATCCTGTTTTATAATTAATTCTTTATAAAGCTGCCAGTATAAAAGTAATATTGTTTTTACCCAGCAATAATGTGTAGTTCTGAACTTCAAAGCAGTTCTCGGGTCTAGTTGACCAGTTCTGGCCTGGTTTATATCTGGTTTCATTACTCACAGCCCCTTTGAGTCAGTTAATGGTTGTCTGTGATGGGTCTTTTCCAGTGCACATGTTTTCATCTTCCAGATTGGGACAACGAATTGGTGTGTTACAAAGAATTAAATGAGGATCTAACCTGTACCTGGCTGCCAGTACCTAGTGCTGCAAATACAGTTAATTACACTGTATACTTAAAATGGTAAGTCTGAAAAGTAATCACAGAAAACAAAAAGCTGTTATTGCTGTTAGATGTGATTCCCACCATCTGCCAGAGTTATACTCCAGTGTATTTCATCAAGTTATAGATTGTTACACAATGCTGGTCAATATGTTTCATCACTTCTCATCAATACTTATTGATTTGTAAGAGCTTGGTAAGAGAATGAGTGGTAGGTTGATTTTGGCTAGACACCACAAAACCTGTTCTATCCCTCCCCTCCTCAGTCCAACAGGGCAGAGAAAATATGACAAAGGATCATGGGTCGAGATAAGGACAGGAAGACAGCTCTCAGCAATTACTGTCATTGGCAAAACAGACCTGACTTGGGAAAATTAATTTAATTCATTAACATTCAAATCAGAGTAGAGTAATGAGAAATAGAGCTAAAACCTGAAACACCTTCCCCTTCTCTGTCCCCTCCACCCCTCCCCCTGGTTTTTCTTCTTACTGGGTTTAATTTTTCTCCTGAATTCTCTACCTACTCCACCCCAGCATTGTGGGGGGATGGGAAATGAGACTGTGGTCAGTCCATCACATGTTGTGCCTGTCACTTCTTTTTTCTTCTCACTCTTCCTCTGGTCCAGCATGGGAATCCTCCCACAGGAGACAGTCCATCATGAGCTCCTCCAGCATGAATTCTTCCCAAGGGACTGCATTTCTTCATGACCTGCTGCAGTGTAGGTCTCTTCCATGGGGTGCCAGCCCTTCAAGAGCAGCCTGCTCCAAAGCAGGTCCCTCATGGGTTCACGACCCTTCAAACCTGCTCCAGTGTGGGCTCTCTGCTGCTCCCATATGCTCCCATTCCTCTCTGCCAGCTGCTGCTGTGCCTTGGTCAGCAGCAGACCTGTCCTGAAGGCAGCTGGAATTGGCTTTGTTGTATATGGGGAAAGCTTATTGCAGCTTCTCAAGGAAGCCACCTCTGCAGCAATCTGCTCCCCTGCTCCAAAAACCTTGCCATGCAAACCCAATACAAAGTCTTTATACATTATACCGTGCCTCCAACACACTCTTTAAAGCATTATTGCCAAAGATGAGCTTACTCAATTGCCTTTATTTGCAACTGTTGACTTTTATTGACTATTCAACACAGATTTATTCAAAGTAAAAAAAAAAAAAATTAAACCAAAAATGCAAACATAAACAGACATTAGGCTTTTATTTTATGTAGTATGAATTTTGTTATAACATGTACCCAAGGAGCTGTCAAATGTGGCATGCTTTCTGGCAATTCTGAATTATCAAGTAGTGGTTTAATAGATGGAATGAACTTGAAGGGTTAATTTTGAACTGATTACCTCAAATACGGTATCTTCAGTTGCAGCTGCATTACAAAATTGAATTTCTTCATTTTATATCTAGATATTTGGAATCTCCCATGAGATTAAGGGTGTGTTCAGAAATAGAGACGTGAGATCAGAAAACCTGATCTTTGCCATGAGACTGTATCACGGGGTACACAGAGTACAACACTGTATGCCGTTGGTATTTTGATATTCATTGCTGATTATTTTGCCACGAAGCCATCCCTTGTCATTAAAAATAAGCTGTGGTTAGAAGCATCTCCTAAAGCTAAGAAAATGTCACCACACTGGGAAATTCCCCTGGGTGATCATCTTCACACTGCAGAGGAGTAAAGCAACCACCTAGAGGCTGAAGTTACTCCCTCATCACCTTCAATATTTTCTCACTGGAGGTAGCAGCAGGCATCAATTTGCAACAAGCACCACATTCCACTGCATTTGCTGTCTTGCCTCTTGGGACTTCAAGGAATCCAAATCTTTTGGGAGGGCAGAAACATCTGTGAGGCAGCTCTGTTTCTGAAGAGATGTTATCAGCTGAAATATTTGTAAGATAGTTGCTCTTGAAGTCCTAGGCCAGAACCAGACCGTGCCGTTCCCAAGCTGCATGGTTGATGTCATGAACAGAACAGGCAGAAAAAAGAATGGAATAGGATGTCATTGAGGGAAGAGGGAGACAATTCCCTGGCAGAGATGTTGATGTTTTCATCAAGTCAGAGTCAGGACTTTAACCTTAGTCTCCTAAGCTTCCACTCGGTGGTCTTGAAGATAAACCTCCTATCTCTTCTTCTACTGTGTTAAAAGGAAAATAAAAAAAAAAACCCATATGTGAAAGGGCTTTTAACTTGCCTAGAAGAGGGTATCACCCCTTCCTGCATGTAACATCAGTCTGATGTTGTAATAGTTCCTTTCCTTGCTCCTTATGATTTAGTTGTCAGGAAGAAAAAGATTATAGATAAACACACCCACAGAGAAGTTCCAGCCAAGAATTCAAAATCGTGCTTTGAAATTTTAATGGCTGATTCACAACTGGCCTGAAGCAGAAGGCAGGAAAACCTTCAAGTAGTTTTGCTCAGGTATTAAGTATTGAATCATGATGTGTGTAATTTAATACTTGAAATGCATAGGTAGGCAACTAGTACGCTAGCCCATCTCCTTAAGAACACCGAACTTCCACAATTTTAACCTTGGAAAAACCTGTCCTGTGTGTGTCAGAGACTAAATGAGAGAGACAGGGGAAAAAAAAATAGGCAGCAAAAGTGTAAGGCATCAAACCTCTTGGACTTCCTGTGCTGTGTGTATCAGATATACCAGGAGAAATCTACAGGGCTGAGGACTCAGGTGACATTTAAATATCTCTGTAAAACTGATGATTGGCAGGAAGAGAAGCCAGAAGGTAGGCATATAACTCATAAGAGGTTTTTCATAACTTTATAGTAATTTAGATTCATGTAACTGGGACATTTTTTCTGCTCAAAAGGAATTTGGGTGCCCTTGTGATAGGAGACATGGTTTTATGAAGTAATATCTAACCTAATTTTATATCTTCAAAATGCTCTATATATCCCACAGTAAGTACAAAAGAAGGTCATACTTCTTTTTGTTGTATCATGCGATGCCTTAAAAGTTTAAGGAATTCAACAGTTCTCTACCACACAACACAAGGATTTGCAAATTTAAATTTACTGGGGTTACTGGGGTGCTGGAATTCATCTTGCTGTTTCAAGCTGCTCAGTGTGAACCTTCATGATTTCCAGAAGCGTAATTATGTGTAGTGGTACCTGGAAAGCTATCAATTACTGTAATCTTGCTTTCTTGCTTTCTTGTGCAGGAGAAGAAAGAATAACTATAATCCAGTCAAATGTTTTTTATTCTGCCTCCTTTTCTCTGCAGGAACAAAATACGAAAACTTTTTCAACGAAAAACATCATCACCTTCCATCACAATAGAACGGACGAATCTCTACATGGAGAGATTTGTATCCATTTGGATAGCAGTGAATTATGCTCATGACACCTGTGCAAAAGGAAAGAATATCTCAATTTTACCAAGCAAAGCAGGTACAGCATTTTCAGAAGTTGTGCTTCTGCAGTGCCCAGCTAAATCTGTAGTCTGTAAAGACTATTTCCAAAAGTTCAGCTCCCAAAATACTCTTGTTATTTTTACAGATTCAGAGAGCTAAGATGCCGTTTGACTTCCTTGAATGAAGTTAATAATGAAGTTAATGTGATGAAGTCTATCACATTTTATGGGAGGAGGGTTTTATGTTAAATATTTTGCTGGAATATTTAATATTCATATCCAGAAAAACATACAGTAATATTTGTGTACCGAACCTAACCAGCTTTCTATGCTCTCTTTGATGGTTTTCTGAATTTCTTTGTATTGGTTTACAAAGAGCAGGTTGACTCAGCACTGTGCACCTAAGGAATCCTTGATATTGAGCATTAGTATTTTGAGAAAATTTTCAAAGTTCAACTCTTTTCTAAGGCCACTTATCCATTACACAGGGCTACAAAATGATATGAAAAAACAGCCCTATTTACTATGCCCTTTAGGTGATTATTTAATGTTTCCCTACCTATCTGGTCATTGAACTAATGTTAAGAACTTTACAAAACTTCACCTTCTCAGACTAATCATGGCCCAAGAAATAACAATGCTTCTCACTGCTGGGGGTTACTACCGGTACAACCCAAATTATCAATATAACCTTTACCGAAAACTTTTGGCCACATTGTCTTTATTGGAGAGGTATATTTACTGGAAAGTATATTTGCACTTACTGAAATGTAAAGCTATTCTGGATATTTTCTGTACTATTACAGGTGCTCCTGACATTTTGATTTTGCCTTCCAGCCTTACTCAGAATAGTAACTGCTTAGAAAAAGAGTGTTCCTGAAATCAGTTGAAACATTCACAAAAAAAAGGGAAGAGGAACAACGGTATTTTGTTGATACCATAAAGATGTAGTAATTATTCATTTCCAGGGTTTTTTGAAGTCTCACAGTGTTCAGTATACTGTGCCAAGTCTTTTTATTTTTATAGACCACACTCAACAGACATAATTACCAAAGCTTTCCTGCTTCTCTTGCATTTTTAACAGCTGTATATCCCCCATTTTAGGAAAGTGCTTGTCACCATCTAACATAAATGCTTATCAGATCACAAACCAATTGATAATTAAGTGGGACCTGACGACAGCTCATGCACAGTATGAGCTGAGATACAGAGAGGCACTCACAGAATCTGCTCCATGGACACTGGTAAGTACTTCCAGATGACAGCCTCATGGGAACATAAGGTGCCTCAATATCAGCTCAGCTGCACATATTACATTCAGCACAAGCATTGCAAGGAGGCACAGCAAGGAGTCACTTTGTAGGCAGATCCCACTAAGGCACCTTAGTTTGGTTCTAGCAAATCATAAAATGCTTGGGAAAGAAGGAATAGTAGCTTTAAAAAAAATAAAATAGAGTAGCATGTTGTCTGGTTCATTAACCTACCAGTAAGACACTACAGCTACCAGTGATGCAAAAGCTGAATATCAGAAATGCCATGTAAACTCAGATCTAAATCATGCTTTCAGTGATTTACAATATTGCTTTTTAGCTGGTATCATTACATTTTCAAACAGATCAGGTTGCTTTGTTTTTTAAGGTATTAATTCATACTTTACAAACTTTTGGTTTGTGTAAGTATTCCAGATTTTCTTCTTTGAAAGAAGATAAATAATTTCTCTGTAATAGAGTCATAGAATCATAGAATAGTTTGAGTTGGAAGGGAACTTGAAGATCATCTAGTTCCAACCAGTCCTGCCATGTGCAGGGCCACATTCTAGTAGACCAGGATGCCCCATCCAAACTGGCCTTAAACACTTCCAGAGATGGAGCATACACAACTTCCCTGTTCCAGTGCCTCACCACCCTCACAGTGAAGAATTTCTTCCTACTAACTAATCTAAACCTACTCTCTTTCAGTCTACAGCCATCACACCTTGTCCTGTCACTACATGTTCTTGTAAATAGTCTTGCCCCTTCTTTCCTGTAAGTTCTCTTGAGGTACTGGAAGGCAGTAATAAGGCCTACTCAAAGCCGCCTCTTTTCCAAACTGAACAATCCCAATTCTCTCAGCCTTTCCTCACAGGAGAGTTACTCCATCCCACTGATCTATTTGGTGGTCCTCCTTTGGATTCATTCCAACAGGTCCATATCCTGCCTCTGCTGGGGACTCTGTCCCTGGAAATTGGGAAATAAAATCTCCATTGAATTTATTAGATTAGGAAGCCACTATTATTTCATTAGCAGTGCTGAATGCATGGATGATTCTCTTCAAAGCATGCATGTCCAGAAACCTAAGAGACCAGGTTATATTCCTGAAATGATTGTATTTTCATGTTTCCTGAACACACACATATATGCTAATTATTTCCACTTGTTTGGCTATGGTTCCAGATCTTCTGACGAATCTTTTCTCCTTGGGACTATCTCAAATATGTCATCAGGTCATAATGTACTCCTCTTATCATTCTTTGCCCTGACACACAATCCTTGTTCTCAAAACTGAGATATTAGTTAGTACATATTAAATCACTTATAGAAGTAAACAAGAAAGCATTAACTGGAACAAGTTTATTAGTCACAGATGTAGGGAGTTACATCTGTGCACAAGGCCACATCAATCTCTGGTATTTGTACTAAGTACTGCATGTACAAAATTAAGCACTAACAACAAATAGGGGGGTCATGCTCTATTGTGTCGAAGTTAAAAGAATTTCCAGCACCTTCCTCCACTGTTGTATATACATTGCCTTACAGGACTGTTCAGTAACAACTCCAGAGCTGATGCAGCCCTGCAGGTGGGGTCTCAGCAGAGCAGAGCAGAGGGGCAGAATTCCCTCCCTGGCCCTGCTGCCCACGCTGCTCTGGATGCAGCCCAGGACACGTTTGGCTCTCTGGGCTGGGAGTGCCCATGGCTGGGTCATGTCCAGCCTCTCACCCACCAGCACCCCCAAGCCCCTCTGGGCAGGGCTGCTGTGATCTGTCCATTCCCCAGCCTGGGCTGGTACCAGGGCTGCTCTGACACAGGTGCAGCACCTTGCACATGGTCTTGTTAAACCACATGAGGTTCCAATGGTCCACCTGTGGAGCCTGTCCAGGTATCTCTGGATGGCATCCCATCCTTCAGGAGTGCCAACAGCACCACTCAGCTTGGGGTCATCTGCAAATTTGCAAAGGGTGCACTGGACTCCTCTAAGATATTACTGAAGATATTAGATAACATTGGTCACACCCACTATGGACCCCTGGTGAACACGTCACTGATGTCCACTGGCATTCTGAGCCACTGACCACTACCTTCTGGATGTGACCATCCAGCCATTTGCTAATCCACGTAACAGTTTACCCATCAAATCCATCACTATCCAATTTGGAGAGAAGGATGTTGTGGGATACAAGATCAGTTCCAGATGCATTTTAGGACATGCCATATGGCACAGCAACAGGGCAGTACAAAACTAAAGGGAATACATAAGAGATGGAAAATCAGTCATAATTTCAATAATGTCTGTATGTAGCAGCAATGACTGCTTATCCTGCCCCCTCCTATCCAGCATGTCAAGCTCTCCAGCAGGCAGGCATGTATGCATGATTTGTATCACTAAGTCCCTGAAATTGTTTTTCAAGCTCTGTTATTTTTATATTTGTTAATCAGGTTTTAAATATGCATTTATCAAGTGGAACATAACCTCAAAAAGAAAACTCTTCAAATAGCAACAGTCCCCACTTCTTGGGAAACTGCTTGCCCAGGAGCCTCTTTGCTTCCTTTTTATTACAAAAATCTCTCTTTTTCTTCCTTTTGTCTCAGAAGAGTGTTCCCATTTCTCCTGTCACAGACTGCCTGTTTATTTAGTCACTTCAGAAGAGGTACTTTGAGAGGCCCACGTACGAAATGTTTTGTCTCAGTACAAAGAACACGCTGGTCTTGGGAAGGTCCCCTCTTTCGCTTGCATACAAGTCTGAGACCATCCTATGGCAGCCAGTCACCTTTGCATAGCCCACCCAGTAGTGGAATAGATAGAAAACCACATGCAGACAGTCTGGTATGTGGCATGTGGAAGAGCAGACAAGGGATTAAAAGCAGTACAAATGCACTTTGTACAGGGGAAGGACGAGCGAAGGATGAGTAGAGACAGCCACACTGAGTGACACGAAGGAGTGAAGACTACAAGTCATAAATATTCATTATCTCCCAGGTCCCAGCTGATTCTATGAATTTAGGCTATAATCTCTTCCTAATAGTATAAACAGGCTACACTTGCAGATGAGTAAGTGAGCATGGTCATACATGCACAGAGGATGTATAAAGCTGGTGTTCATCACGAGTGAAATAGCGGTACCTGTAATGTAATTTAACATTTGGGTTTTAAATCTATTCCACTTCCTTCTTATTCTGTAGAGACATGGAGTCTTTCTGTAATATTGTGGGTAGTGGGATTTATTTTGCAACCAAGCATTTTTTATTAGCAAAGTTGTATGAAATTGTCATGGACAGAGTAATACCCTTCACTCATAAGAAAGAAGTTGCCATACGTTTATTGATATAAAACAGAAATCTAGCAAAGTTTGATAGTAAATGTGACAGGGGTTTAACAATAGGAGATGGCAAGGAGCACTTGATTACTTCATAGGGAATAGAGTCAGACAGAACTGTGAGGGACACCTTTTACTTGGGTCACGATATTTGGAAAAGGCTCCCCTTGCATTCTAAAATTCTTCTTAGAGCCCCTGCCAATCTAGTTGCTTCTAAATCCAGATTTAGTCCCAGACCTGGTCAACAGTTTATGTCTAAAGGATTATATGTGCACAATCAATCCTTTGTACCACTTAACTGAGATTTAAAATTTTCAGTGTGTTAATTTCCAATTGAATTATCAAGTATCTGATGAGAAGAATACTTTCATCCTTGAGGAGTAACCTTTGTAAGTTCTGTTGTATAGCCCACTGAAGTGCAGGAGAGCTCAGGAGGCTGTGGGCTGTCCACTGTTTAATGGGTAAGATGAGAAACTTAAAGACATATATGTATGCTCACTTCACGCTTTTTTCCAAAGCTGGCTTGAGTCAAATCTTAATCAGCACTATGATTAGGTGGATGAACTGTTAAAATTAACACTTGTCTTTCATGTTGTTGTCTGTCTGCCTGAGCCAGATACTGGTCCAGACACATCTGTTATGACTGCTGATATTGGCTATCACTTGGTCAGGACTACAGGAAATAAAGATCAGGATGGAGGGGAAGTGGAGGGGAGGGAGGTGAGCACAGTGTCACAGAAGTTAATTAAACATTAATTAAAAAATAAAGTACTGTAGAAACTGAAAGAGAAGAGTTAGTCACCTTACAGTGGGCCTTTGTTGTTTTTGTGGGGTTTTAGCAAAGAGTTTAAGTGATAACAAGAGTTTCCTATTGTATTTTCTCTTATTTTTTCTGCATTTTTCAGCTCAGGGTTTTCCTTAGTCATGGTGGTGTCTTTTTTTTAAGAAAAACTCCATTCCCCTGTACAGTTACTGGGGCTCCACTGCCATCATGAGCTGCAGATGAAATCTCTTCTGCAGTGCTAAGGCATATAGGCAGCCACACACTCAATCCAGCCATGCTGTTCAACACATCGGCAATGTGGATCTATATCAACATAGTAACACTTCTAAAAATAAGGACTTTTTTTTTAATATTTCATTTTCCCTTGACTTCCTGTTTTTGAGAAAATTAACAAGAATCAGAGTTAAGTAAATTTTAATTTTTCAGTATATGTAATGTCTAATTGATTTTAAAAGTAATATTTAGACCAGGTTACTTACTGTCTTGAGTGAACAGAACAAGTTCATGAAAAAGAGTGTTGCCCTGAAAGACTGAACATACCTTGACTAAAATGCGTAATAATTCCTATTTGATGACAGGAACCTCTACTTTCAGCTAAGTCAGAAGACTGGTCTTAGGCTGAGAAGACAATCTGAGATAATGTTTTATTGCTGTTACAAAAATTTAATTTTTTTTAGGTGCCTGTAGGAAACAATGTTGTCAATGTCACCATTTCAAATTTAAATGCTATGTCTTCATACATTGTTCAGCTCAGATGCATAACCAAGGATGGCCTCAACTGTGTTTGTGTTTGGAGCAGAGAGATTTTGGTCCCTCACAGTAAGTGAAATGTAGTTTCATCCTACTGGTATTAAGTATGAATGTAAAAGCTTTTCCAAATTCTGTGCCATATCAAATAGCATTTTCGGATAACTCTTGAGAATATGAAGATCAGAATTATTCATCTGAGTGCCTGTCTCCAACTTTCTCCATGTTTACCAGAACTCATGAACAAGCCCAGAATATCATATAATGTAACTACACAAGTCTCTCCAGGAAGAAGAAGTGTTCTTCTGAGATGGGAGGTAAGGTTCACTTGGAGTCTGGATACCTCCTGTTATGTATATGCTATTTATCTATTGTGTTGAAAGGAAAAACAGACTTTCTCATTGTACTAAGTCTACACCTGAAATGTGAAAGGCACTGGATATTGTATACTTGCTACAGAATTCATTGCATCTATAAGCTGATGATTCAGGTGCTAGAAACTAACAAGGAAAAATTAAATGAATTTATAATCTTGAAAATTTACTAAAATTTCCCTTCTTTTCCAGGGAAAAACATGTTTTCATTTTAAGAGCTTCCAGCTTCATCTGAAATTCCTCACAAGACATTTGTCTCTGCCTTTTAAATTATTGAATGTCTTCCTATCTATGTTACTCCAAAAGTGTTCAATTATTTCATTAAGATAACCCAGCCTCACAGCGTCATGGTGTCTCCACACTATTAATTTTAATGCCAGAAGTAACAGACAATCTTGATATCAGAAATAATCCTTGAAGAATTCACAGGCTTTCATGTATTAAGTTTCTGTCTATATTGCAGTAATTTCAATTTCTGTGCACTCATTTTCCAATCTCTTATTAAAATTAGTACTATAAAATAATGAGTGAACCACAACCAGAAATTCCTACCAATGGATATTTAACAGCTTCCAAATTTGTAGGATAATTACTAGCACTTCTCTTTAAAGGGACTACATACCTAACCAAACCCTAGCAGATGAGGATCCCCAGAGGCATAAATTTCAATTAAACACCTCTCATTAACTTTCAAGTTCCTGATAATGAGGGATATGTTCCACTGAAATGTAGAGAACATTACAGCTGCTTCACTGCTGTTATTACTAATTGCATACCCATAACTAAGATCTCAATTAAGGAAAATTCCTAATCCTTTACTTAAATCCTCTCAATTTAAGCACGTTCTTAATTTTAAGGAAATGTTTTGCTTCATTGATTCCTAAGGACCTAATTAAAACAGCATGATTTTATCCCCATCATTAGAGGCTACATGCTTATACAATTAAATTCCTCTTAATTTTCTGCACAGGATGTAACAGCATTTATATAAGAATAATAATAATAACAATGATAATAACTATACTAATACTAATACTAATAATGTTTTTCCTGTTGCTAGGTAGCACAAAGTGAGAACGTCCTTGGATATTTTGTTAATGTGGAAAGAATACCCAACAGCTGCAGTCGCCCACCAAATCACATCTCTCTCAAAGACAGAAAAATTCTTGTTAATCTCTCCATGGCTCACTATAGAGTTATTATTTCTGCCTATAATGAAGCAGGAGAATCTCCACAAGCCTTCTACATTGTCCCAGAATTCTCTGTAGCAGGTACTTACCTTATCTTCTATTCATCGTAATGGTGGGGAAGTTTTATAACTCTAAGGGTACCTTTTGACAGACTTTGGGATAGGTGAAAGTATTCTCTTGAATATTCATTAGGCTAATATTTTCACATACTAGGAGTCAGAATTGTTTCTTAAGAAGATACTTCAGTAGAAGTTAACAGACTAGCAATTTAATATTCATTTTAGCCCTTCTTTTTTTGTCAAGCTGAAGAAAGCACTTATGTGCTGGATCTACTTAGGAAAATGGTTTATGTGCTGTCCTCAATATCAATTAGGTGCCAATGATTTAATAAAACATCACAGAACTATGTGCAAGTCCAAGTTCTTGAGCTAAATAACTATTAAGAGACCTGCTACTGTCCTTTATTTCTATTATTCTAACTGGCACATAGGAAAAGAAATAGATGTACATGTCACATTCTAATGAAGATGTAAGCTTTTCTGAGGCCTAAATAGACAGTCTTCTCATTTAAATAATAAAACTTATTGTGTAATGTCTTCCTTAGCTAGTTTCACGCGTTACAGTCTTGAGGTGTATTTACTGCAATATAAGAAGAACCTCTCTTACAAACTAAGACATTTTTTAAATCGAGCTATAGCATTCACAATAAAGAAGCATGCAAGTACCCTTGTTGGTCTTCAGATAGCTGGAAATGATTGCTTATCCAGAATTTTCTAACACTCCCCTCATGCTGTTCTCCTTTTCCTTGCAAAGAGGCAACAGCTTGATTTTGTCCTTACATTTCAGTCTCTTAGCTCTCTTCTGTTAAATATATCCTACCAGTTCAAGCCACTTTTTGACTGACAATTAGCTGTCTACTGAACCTCTAAACCTGTATTTCATGGCTCTCCACAGATGCCAGTTTCCATTTCACTGTACTTCAGTGCAGCTTTTCTGTACCTATCATGAATTACTGAGGGGATACTTGTATTAAGTGCATTCTTAAGATAAATTCCTTCCCAGCATACACAACTTTTTCTCAGCCAGTACAGTCATTTTTTTTACATAATCACTTCTTTACAGAATCAGCTGGTTTGGAAAATACCTCTGAAATAATTGAGTCCGATTTATGACCTAACACTATTCTGCCAACAAGACCATTGCACTAAAGTGGCACATCCACTTAAACATCGCCAGGAACAGTGACCCTACCACCTTCCTGCACAGCCCATTCCAACACCCAATCTCTCCTTCTGTGGAGGAATTCCTTCTAATGTTGAGCCTAAGCCTCCCCTGGCATGGCTTAAGACAGTGTCTCTTGTCCTGTGGCTCATTGCTTGGGAGAAAGAGACTGACTCCACCTGGCTACATCCTCCTTTTGGATAGTTGTAGAGGGTGATAAGGTCTCCCCTGAGCCTCCTCTTCTCCAGGCTAAACTACCCCAGCCATCTCAGACAGCCCCAGCTCCCTCAGTCAACCACAGCTCCCTCAGAATTAATTTGCTTTTCTTGTATCCAGTCAGGAAACAAAATGGAGAATGTTTATGTCTCTCACAAGTTCCACTTCTTACCTCAAAATGGCAGGTTGCCCTTTTCCCTCCTTAGTGTCGTTCAGAGGTATTCCCTAATTTGATAATCTGTCTTTCAAATAATCAAAATCAAAGATCCTTTCAGAAAATTCAAAATATATGAAATTTCTAATCACCTAGCTATGATCTATCATTAGCCTCTTCTCCTCCACCCCTGCTCAGACAAGCGCTATCTCGAAGTTACTCTATATATATCAGCTACTAGCGGCTCACAGGAGGTTATTTAGCAACACCAGACTTCTTCCTGTGGCTTCGAACAGCCACAGAATTTCAAATAATCAGAAATCAGGAAAAGTCTTGAACAGCAACCAACACCTTAGCCCACCACCGCAAAGTAGTAAATGCTAAGTTTCCTCTATTGAAATACTAGTATAAACCTTACTGTGATAAGTAAGTCACTTACTATGATAACTGCTTAATGAATAATTTTTTAAAAAACAGAGCAAAAGGGACAAAGAACAATAGGGGAGAAAACTGCTTTCCTGTTTATTGACCTTTAATTGTATATTTTTTCACAGACTTGCCTGGTAAAATCCATGTCAAAAGCCAGGGAACTAGTGCAGTCGTCACATGGACTCCAGAATACAATCCAAAATGTTTTGTGGTTGACTGGGGCACTGGTAAAGAGGATATGCGCATGAAAATAATAAACAGACCTACCAGCAATTTCACATTAGGTAACAGCAAACACTGCCTATGGAGGCACCCTTTGATTTCTTGGTTAATTTTGGTTGGGCAGAGTAGGATTTTTGTTCTGTTTTTAAGGGAAAACTGAAGATCCTTCCAGATAAGTACAGCTCTTAATACCTGTCCAGTACTGAGTCACCATCCAATGCTTAGCAACATTAAGGCAGTTAAAAAGCAGCATTTTCATGAGGGTTCTTCTGGATACTGTTGGGCAAGAAATGCAAGAAATGCAGCTAAGCTGCTGGTAAGATGTCTCTCCTTGCCCACATTCCAGGCAGACCTATACATTACTGGCTTCAAAAAAATTTTCATCTTGTACCTAGGTAAGCTGATCTCTCAATAAAAACTGCTCTGTTACAGAATCCCTAAGATTAATTTCTATTTTTATACCAATCTCTATACTTGTCAAAGCCTAAGTTTTCAACTCCAGTATTCTGCTTACCATGCTAGACATGATGAACTTCAGCCAGGGATTTCTTTATGGAAGAGATATTGAAAATCTTGATTAAAGTCATGTGATTCTTGCAAGGGCCATTCAGCACTGTTTTTTATGTACAATAGAGAACATTTATTTTCAGAGTTCTACAAAGTCTTCTAGAGAGTGCATTGTTTACCTTGGTTCTTCTGCAAAATCTGTAGTGTCTCATTACATATAGGTTTTTTGTTTGGGTTTATATATTCTAGCTGAGTGGGCAGTAGCTATCCCTGAGATAAGATAACTACAGCCATTTTAGTTCCCAATTTCTCCTTCAACAGATAAAGTCTCCCATAGGGACACTATAAACACGTCTGTTATCTTTTGAAAACCCAGGTTATGTCCCATTCTGGCTTTGAAATAATTTGCATAAAGCATCTAGAGACACTGAAGAAGGATGTACATATTTTGTACTCAATGTAATGCACTATACACTCATGCTATGCTCTGAGTCTCAGAAAGCAAGAGCTGCACAGAAAATCTATGCAGTTGTTGTCTTTCCTATTCTTCTTTATAAACAATTTTCAGCCATATAAGTTGTACAAAATAATGGTACATGCATCTGATGTGTGTCAGTGTGAAAGTTTCCTAAGACATGAAAAGACTTTTGGAGTGACCCACTTTTACTCCATTGAAGGAGGTATTCCTCCCCTTTGTATTACCCCACTCCCTATGTTTTTTCTTGTTTCCTATTTGCAGAAATAAAAGGAGGACTACACAAAATTTATTTTCTAGGTGACTGAACAGCTTTCTCCAGAAACATTACCTTTATTCTTAGCTGTTATGTCCTGGCAGTAAATGACCTGAATTCTGTTCCTTACTGACAAGCCCACAGAAATATTTTTATAATGTGTGACATTACCAAAAATAACAGAGTCTGAGACCCATGTGGCTCAAGTTTAAATTAAATGAGATTTTCCAATCCCAATAACATAGTGTTTGCAAGTTATTGCAAGTTGAAATGAGTATGGCTGTTGCTATTGAAGTACAATATTCATAATGATATAGTCACAATTTCTACCTAATTTGGTATCGTTTAAGATGAGGGGGTTTTACTCTATGGGATTCTGCCTTTCTCTTGCACCCTTTACATTGTATTTATAGCATCTAGAATCTGACAAGAACTCTCTCGGAAACAGCTAGGTTTCAGTCTTGTATGTCTATTGCACAGGCATTGATGCAGAACTCAAATATGTTTTTTTAAGTTCCTAGGACTGGTCCTGCTAATGTGACAATTCTGAATATAACAAAGCATTCTGCACTTGTAAAGTGGAGTGAAATAGCTGCAGAAGACCGTTTGGGCTTTCTCCAGGGATACAGGATCAGTTACACAGATTCATCAAGGAAAAACTCTCCAGGTAAGTCACCATTGCCAGAACAAAGCAGCGTCTCAGAGTCATCATAGAAAAGCTTCATTTGGACCATTAAGTCTACTGAGTAATTTACAGTTTCTGTGCAAATTGAGTGCTTTGCTCTCAAAGGTCAACTCCTAGTTAGATTTTTAATGCTCACACAAACACTTAGAATGTTCTAGGTATTATCTCAAATTAAATATTGCTATTCCCTTAAAAATTACATTTCTAAGACTAGAGCAGAATTCTCTAGGAACACTTAAAGAAAGACATACATTTTCAGTATTACGACTTCAGTCATAACACTTTTATGTTTCATTACACCTCATCCAAGATTGAGTCTGAGCCTTTCTGTAAGATATAAGACATTTTATATTTCATTTTTAAACTCAATTAGCAGTTTGTATTTCTTACCTGTTTCGAAAGATACCGTTATAAACTTAACTTTGGAAACATTATCTTAAATTGGTAGTTTTTATGTCTAAGTTTGGACTTGATAACCTTAAAGAACCGTTTCAGCCTTAACAAACTACGAATGATGAAACTTCTACACTTTGGAATAAATTAATAGTTGTGAATTCAAACCACTTGAGTTTTCAATTTTAAAAAATCCCCATATTATTTTGATAAACATTTTCTTTCTGGTCTAGAGTGGAAAGTCTCTTTGCCATAAGTGATAATACATTAACTTTGTATATACTGAATTTCAAATAGAATAGAAGACATGGTAGGGAAGATAAATATCACCTGATATTTGTGACAATTGGAGTGAGAGTAAAGTATATGATATGGGCTACTCCTAATGTTAGTTGTTACAGTCAGGATAAAAATAACTGTTCAGCATGTTAGATTTATTTTCCTCACATGAAGTATACACAGCTTTCTGTATTCATCACCCATGATGGTTGGACCCTGGCTGTATACCACAGCCACTGGATGCCAGAGCCACTCTATCCCCTCTGCAAGTGGACAGGGAAGAGGAAATGTAACAGAACATTCACAGGTTGAGATAAGGACTAGGAGAGATCACAAATTACCGTAGGGGAAAATGGACTCGACTTGGGGAAATTAATGGAATTTATTGCCAATGAAATTCAGAGCAGGATAAAGACAAGTAAAACAAACCTTTAAAATACCTTTCTCCACCACTCCCTCCTTCCTGGGCTCTAGCTCTTCCCCACCAGCAGCACTGGGAGGCACAGACTGGGAGCTACAGTCAGTTCATCACAGATTGTTTCTGCCATTGCTCAGCAAGAAGAGCCCTTCTCCTGCTCCAGCATGGGTTACCTCCCATGGGAGACAGTTCTCCAACATGAGCTTCTCCAACATGAGTCCACCCCTAGGGCTACAGTTCTTCACTAATTGCTCCAGCATCCAGAGTGTTCACTTCCTCCAGGATGAAGTCCTTCAGGCACAGCCTGCTCCAGCATAGATCTCCCACAGGGTCACAAATCCTACCAGGAAACCTGCTCCAGCACGGGCTCCTCTCTCTGTGGGTCTGGAGGTCCCTGCCAGGACCCTGCTCCAGCACGAGCCTCCCACGGGTCCATAGCCCCCTCTCAGGCATCCACCTGCTGTGGCCTGGGTCTCCTCCAGGGGCTGTAGGTGGATCTCTGCATCCCCAGGGACCTCCAGGGTCTGCAGGTGGATCTCTGCATCCCCTGGGACCTCCAGGGGCTGTAGGTGGATCTCTGCATCCCCAGGGACCTCCAGGGGCTGCAGGTGGATCTCTGCATCCCCAGGGACCTCCAGGGGCTGCAGGTGGATCTCTGCATACCCAGGGACCTCCAGGGGCTGCAGGTGGATCTCTGCATCCCCAGGGACCTCCAGGGGCTGCAGGGCCACAGCTGCCTCACCATGTTCTGCACCAGGGGCTGCAGGGGAACCTCAGCTCTGATTCCTGGAGCACCTCCTGTCCCTCCTTCACCAGCTTTGGTGACTGCAGGGCTGTTCTTCTCACAAATTGTCACTCTGCTCTTATATTTGCACAGTAACATTTTTTCCTTCTTAAATCTTTTATCACAGAGGCATTACCACCATTTCTAATTGTCTCAGCCTTGGCCAGCAGCACATCCATCCTGGGGCCAGCTGGGATTGGATCTGTTGGACATGGGAAGCTTCTGGCAGCTTCTCACAGAAGCCATCCCTCTAGCACCTCTGCTACCAAAACCTCACATAAAAACCCAATACAGCCTTGGTGTGTTAAAAGCTCAGGTTTTTAACCTCTGGATTCAAAATGCACGTAAATATTTTGGAGAAATCTTATACCCATCCAAAGAACATCAGCACGGTTTGGCTTCCTCCAGATGAGCACTGGGGCATTAAAATTTTGCCTTTTCCCCAGTCAGCTACACTGACACATGCTCAGCCATGAGACTTCTAATCATCTCCTCCTAAAACCTCTTGCATTTCAGCTATTACTCTCAACTCCTCTATCACAAGTTACCATCTTACTGGACTGAAGGAAAAGACCACCTATCGTGTGCAGATTTCAGGATTCACTAATGCTGGAGAAGGACCTCTGACTCTTTCTCAATCTTTCAGCACTCCAAAATATGGTACTGTGGAACCTCTGTGCATTAGCTGGCATGAATCTTTGCTTTATGCTTTCTCTGTGCTCACTCATAAGATTTATTATTCAACCCTCAGTTACTGAGAGCAAACACAAAATTGTTCCTCTGCAAGAGGTAAACTTTGTGTCACAGAACAACTCTGCCTGTGTTTCATTATCTAGTATTCAGGGAAGCCTTAGCTAGGATTCTTCATCTCTGAAATCTTTGCTGAACTTTTTGTGCTAGCTATGTCTTAATTTATTGACAATTACTCTCTAGATTTCAGCAGTTGAAATTTCTGCCTGTGACTAGTAATGTTCAATCATCTGCTCTTGGCAAAATCCTGAGCAATCACGCAAAATTGGCTTCCTGAGCCATTAACTGCAAAAATAAAAGATTAAGTACCTTTCAATTGCTCCTAGTGTGGGTGAATACTAATCAAAGTATATTTTGCTTTCTGATAATTTAAGTACATTCTAAATAACAGGTCCTTTAGGTCACTGGCAAAAACTTGCTTTTCTCAGAAGTGCCTGGATAGGCTAAGACTCATACAATTATATTTAAAAAGTAAAAAAAACCTTAAAATCGTATAGGGTTGGCTAAACTTAGTCTTTCAAACATGTTAAATATCTCATCAGTTAAACTAAAACTAACACTGCAACAGACTTTTTTTTTGTTTGACCACAGCTTCCCTTAATTAAGATTTCTAAATAGCAAAGGAAAAGAACATGCTAAGATGGTATCAGTAACCTGTGATATTCAGAGACAGAAGTACACAAATGGTTTCTCCCCATAGCAGCTTTTTTGTATTAAGTGAAGGAGGTATAAAACCATACAACTGAATAGTCAGAAGTGTAAAGCAGAGATAAAAAAATAAGAAATTTTAAATCTTCTTCAAAATCAACAGGATTTGCACCCCTCTTCCCCCCCCCCCCCCCCCTCCTCTCAACACAAAATATTAAAGTCTCTCCCTGGAGCTTTACTTCAGACTCTATTTCATTCATCCTACCAAATACATGCTTGGAGAGTATTCAGTTTTTCAGTAAAGTAAAAAAATTGCAGAGAGAAATTAATACAACATTTTAAAAATTCGAGGAATTACTCTGAATTTAAACATTACATTCACTATTTTTGCTCTCCCCAGACATTTCACAGGTTATTTAAACCATTAGAAGAATGTCAGGTTTCTTTGCTATAAAAAACAAATTTCAGCAACAAAGCAATTCACAGCTTTCCAAATTACTTTTTAATATTACATAGCTGTTAGGTAAAAAAAATAAAAAAATAAAAAAAAGACATTTTTGTTTTGGGGTGGGTAGGAAAAGAAAAAGCAAGTGAATTTTTTTTGCAAATATGGTTTGTCAATATCAGTAACACAATCATGAGCTGATCACACTCTACTAGCACTATTTTTAAACTTTTGATGTCTGCATCTATTAAGAAGACATCTGCACCGACTCACTCTTAATATCACAGTCAGTTTTGCTTCCTGTGTTAGCCTGAGCATTTTATCAACTTTCATTAACCTCCCAGACACTTTCTCCTCTTTAGGTAGGTGGGATATTGATAGAAAGTATCTCAAGCAAGTATTAAGAGGCAATAGGAGATGTAGGTTTGCATTTGTAGGATTGAGAAATGGCTGTTTGCAGATAAAAGATAAATCTTAAAAGGTAAAGTATGGACACCAACTAAATACAGAAACTGTGTTATTTCTATCAGGATTAGGCATGACCTCCCAAATGAACCCTAAAATAAAACAAAACCCAACCAAATGAAAAACCCCAAACAAAGAAACAAAAAGCCCCCAGAAAACAAAAACCAAAACCAACCAACCCAAAAAACACCCAGACACAAATAAATCCTGAAACAGATTAAAGGCTACTTTCACTCAAATAGTTTCTTATTAAGCTATATGTGCATGAGGGTCCTGACCTGTTAAACAAGCTAGAGCTCATGTAGGAGCATGAGGTGAAAAAAAACACGTGATAAGTTGGAGAGATAGGCAGAGAAGAGCTGTCAGAAATTCTATAAAGGCAAATGCAGGGTCCTGCACCTGGGGAGACACAACCCCAGGTACCTTGGGCTGACCTGCTGGGGTGCAGCTCTGCAGAGAAGGACCTGGGGGTCCTGGCGGACAAGGTGTCCATGAGCCAGCAGCGGGTCCTGGTGGCCAAGAAGGACAATGGGACCTTGGGGGGGCATTAGGAAGAGCATTGCCAGCAGGTCATGGATGGTGATCCTGCCCCTGTACTCATCCCTGGTGAGGCCTCACCTGGAGTGCTGTGTCTGGTTCTGGGCTCCTCAGGACAAAAGAGACATGGAGCTGCTGAGGTGAGTCCAGTTGAGTGTTGCAAAGATGTTTAGGGAACGGGAACACCTTACTAGTGAGGAAAGTCTGAGAGATCTGGGCCTTTTTATCATTGAGAAGAGGCAACACAGAGGGGATCTTATCAATGTATATAAATACCCTATGGGCAAGTGTCAGGAGGATGGGGCCAGACTCTTTTCTGTGGTGCCCAACAACAAAACAAGAGGCAATGAGCATAAACTGAAACACAAGAATTTCCACCTGAACATGATGAAGAACTTCTTTACTGTGAGGATGATAGAATACGAGAACAGATTGCTCAGAGAGGCTGGGAAGTCTTCTTCCCTAGAAATACTCAAAACCTGTCTGGATGCAATCCTGTGTCACTTGCTTTAGGTGAATCTGCTTTAGCAGGGGATTAGAACAGATGATCTTCAGAGATCCTTTCCAATCCCAGCCATTCTGTGACTCTATGATACCTCAGTATCTTAAAAATATAAACCCAAAAAGCTCACGCTTCCCTGAGAATATCAGGTTTAGTTTTAACTAGATTTTACTTTAATTCCAGAACATGTGTAAAGTTGGCTTTGACTTCTGTTTGAAATATTTCTCTCATGAAGTTAATAAGGTCTTTCTGTACTTAAGACCATAAATCTGATTCAAGCTTTCTGTTTCCCATCAGATAAAGGAGAACTTGAAGGTTTTGTGATTGGTCTTTGTTTCAGCATGATACTCATTCTGGTTTTTGCACCTCTCACTTGTTCTCTGATGATTAAAAGGTAAGAACATAATATTGGCTGGAGTTGTTAGCAACACTCTTGTTTTGCTTAGCTCTGACTTCATAGCACTGGGCTTTTATTGTCATAAAGGCAACACAACTCAGAAAACACACAGCACAAAAGTCACCATACTAATTTCACAGTGAGAGCAATTACAAGCCACTATAAGCTGATTAAAATGGAAAAACAAGTTTGTAAAAAAG